TATATATTCCTAGGTATATATTCCTAGGTATATATTCCTAGGTATATATTCCTAGGTATATATTCCTAGGTATATATTCCTAGGTATATATCAATATTCATTTTTGACTAAATTTTTAAATTTAAATGAAGTGAAGATAATTTTTATTCGAAAATGCATAAAGATATATGTAATGTAATGTACGAAAATCACATATAAATACACATATGAACATGCATATGCAGTATATGCCATAAATTAATATTATTGGATGAGTAATAGAATTTATAATTGTATAATGTTAAGAAAAATCCATGGAAAATTCGAACGTGCATGTCATCTTTATTTGTGCTAGCATATGTACATTATCGAAAACATGTACTAATATCATTTATACTAACTGTTTAACAGTATTACACAGGTATTTACAAATGAAAATCTTAAGATTTTTAAGCCTTTTAAATCTTCATTTGACGACAATTTATATGTGATCTGGTAAATCAAATAAACGATTGAAATACCTGATCATATCAAATAAACGATTGAAATACCTGATCAAATCAAAACATGATCAAATCAATATTTGCCAATTTTTAAGCCTCTTTAGTTTTTTATAATAAATATATATTTTTAATTATTTTTCTAATAATAACTTTTTATATATTAGTCTGTTCAAAATAATTTTTATCACTAAAACGTTCGTCATGATGAGGAGTCCAAAATCATTCAACACTAAAGATCCTGTGATTGGATTTGGATGATTTGAGGCTCATTAGAATCGCCTCATCATGACGAACTTAAACAGACTAATATATGAAAAATTATTATCAAAAAAATAATTAAAAATATATATATTTATTATAAAAACCAAACAAGCGATATGTACAACGAAAATTAATATTTACATCAATCAAAGGCTGGTCTTACTTATCAAAAAAATCAAAGAATGTAATTTGACAGCACTAAACTTATACGGCAGAAAACAATGCCATTATAGTATTGCCATATTTGGGATATTTGGAAGATCACTAAAACAAAAGGAGATTTTAGATACACACAGATGTACCTTTTTGATACATTAAATATAAATTATATCTACATCATCAAGAATATGATTTACGTCGTATGTAGATCTATGTATTTAATTAAAATGAATTCCCAAATTTGCACTAGAAACTCTCATGTGCAAGCACGTTTGTTTATATTTGAAAACTAATATCAAAAATCAATAACTTTATTTCCGAAAATTTGTCGCGACTTTTTGATAAATCAAATTTAGAAATAAAATAAAAAGATAATTTAAGATAATATGTAATTGATAATATGTATTTGTCTTATCTCTTCATATCAAAAAAAGGATTAGGGTGTTGGCGCATGAAATAATACCGATTTCTTGGCGATTATGAAATAAAACCGATTTCTTGGCGATTATAAATGCACGAAAATAGAAAAGAATTCAATAGTTCATTGAGGCCGATAAAAAGAATTCACCTTTTCCTTAACGGAAGGTTTCGATTGTATTTTTTCCAAATAAATCAAAATATACAAAATATAATTTTTTTATTGAATCGCGAATTTAATAATATTAAAGTAGCTTTTTTGAAATTTACTATATGCTCAATGATAAATCTTATCAATAATCTTTATTTTAAAGCACTATACGAAAATACAACAGGAATTAGATCAAACATGAATAATACCGAATATTAAATAAGCATAGAATGTTCCAAAGGGCACAATCTTCTAAAACGTATTCTAAAGTTCTTGCTTATTTGATCATGAATTTTTTTATCTAAAGAAATATTAGATGAGCAAGAGTATGCATATTTATGAAACACAAAACAGTTTCTCTGGTTCTAAATTTCCTAGACCATATGGTTCGTATATGATTCGTATAAGTCAATAGCCGAGAAAAACTATCCTTGTTTGTTTTGAATAGTCCGATTAGTCCTTAGTTTTTCATATTCCGAATTCCGTCCAGATGACCAATCATTTGTGTTCTATATAATCTATATAACTAAAATTAGCCACATCATATGCTAGAGTGTAACGTTATAGAGTTTCGGATCGATAGTAAGTAATTTTAATGCTTAAATTTAGAATTAAAAAAATTGGCTTAAGAAAAAACCAATTGAACGAGAATTAAAACATAATATTTGCACAACAAAAATGTTTTTTATCGCGAATAGAGCAGAGTATCTACTTTATAATCTAATAAAAGTCCGAAATTGATCCCAAACCTTATAACGTTGTCCGAATTTGATCAGAGATCTCAAAACCTTATAAAATTGCTCACAGGATCTGTAGTGAATCGAAATGTAATAAATGTAATAGCAAATCGAAACATAATAATTGCACAACAGAGATTTTCTTATTGTAAATAGAGCATCTCTTAATAAAATAATTTATGTTCCAATAAAGGTCCAAATTTCGATCAGAAATCCCGAAGCATATAACGTTGCATTCTGGCTTAATTTCTTTTTAATTAAAGGTGCATAATTCAAATAAAGATACATTTTGATGCATAAAGAAGCTCTATATATTGTACAAAGTTTCAGATAACCCGCTTATCATAATTATTGAATTGCATTGGACTGTAGTCTACATAATATAGTAGGACTGTGTAAGGAATAATATCTAATCAACGAATAATTAAAAAGATTAATTAATTAAAATTATAATAATTAAAAAAGTTATATAAAGAAAGACAAACTCCCCAGAAGTGTCTAACTTTAGTTTTCATTAAATCTTTGCAATTAACTATACATTCTCTAAATTGACTGTGAAAAAAATGGATTTTGCAACAACGCCATCCCAACTCTTCAAATATCTATCATACAATTCCTTTTCAAACAAACATTCAACTAAATCAAAACAAAAAAACTCTGCTTCACCTCATTCCACCACAAACTAAAATCATAATGCTACTTCTAAAATTGCTTCTAAAATTAAATTAGTAAAAAACTTAGACTCGTCACGTAAAAAATACAATAAAATGGTCGTATTTGGAGATTCGTTCACAGGTTCGCATTTTTCCATAAATGTCAATCAGATTACTTTTTATAGAAATTTTCTTTTTTACTGTTACTGAAATTTTTTCAATTTAAAAACAGATGACGGTAATGTTTACAATTTAACAAACAAGAAATGGCCACAAAAAATTAATTACAAGGGCCGTTTTTGCGACGGAAAAATCTGGGCTGAATATCTTGCAGAATTACTTAATGTAAAATTAGAAAGTTATGCCTTTGGGGGTGCTACTGCCGAGTAAGTTCAAGTTTCATTTCAATTTTTTTATTCTTTTACAAATTATACATATATTATACATATGCATTATCTTTTTAACATTGAACAACCATTTTTATTACGAATTAAACAGTAGTAATTTTGTCCAAGGTTCCACAGGACCGAATAAACATAAAGTCCCTGGCATTAAGCAACAAATTGAAGCATTTATTGCCGCTAATACTAAATCAGAAAAATCAGCAAATTCTAATCCTAAACTCGATAAATTACAATCTTTCTTCAAAATGAACGTAAATCCTACAAAATTAAAGAACCTTTTGAAAAAGAAAGGTTTAAAACAGTCAAATATTAAAGATTTTAGCAAAACTTTATTTGCTGTACGTATTTAGTTATTCTCTTCTTTCATTTTGCATAATTAAATTATAATTGCTTAAATTCTAAAATTCATTTAATATTTTTTTTTGTACTCTAGGTCTGGAACACTGGTAACGATTATTACTTCACAAACATGACTGCTTCGCCGCTTCTCGTTGTTCAATCCTTACTCGACGCTCTCCACCTCCTTGTAAAATCATTTCCCACTATCTCAACCTTGTTAATACCAAACCTTCCTGATTTTTCCAAAGTTCCTTATTTTAAATCCATGACCGCAATAGAAAAAGAAAAAATATCAAAATTGGTTGCATCTCATAATAAATACTTACTCGAACATTTAGTAAAATTTAGTAGAGCGACCGGTGTAAAGATCGTTTATTTAAAATGTGACAAATTTTTTGATGCTATACAATCTGGAATGGACGGTTTTGGAATCTCAAATTGTGTTGATGCCGAATTTAATATCTATGGTTCTGATGAGAAAAGTTCTACTGACGATTACTGTGATTTAAAATTAACTGTGGATGATATTTTGGAGATTGTTCAATCTAAACCTTCATCTTCCGATATCCCTGATCTCAAAATCAATGCCATAGGCGAACAATTTGATAAGAAAGATTCATTTTATTATTATTTCGATAATTATCATTTTTCGTCAAAAGTTCATGAATATATGGCGGGTTTTTGTTTTGAAACTTTGGAAACTTCTTTTCATCCAACTTCCCCTAATAAAAGAAATAGTTTCGCTGCGAAAATGTTCGGAATGGTCTTGGGCGATTATATACAATGATTTTTTTTTGATCATTTATCACATTGTAATTTAGACTTTTAATTTCCACTAGAATTACACTTTCAAAAAATTCTTTTAAAACTTTATTAATGTTTAAAAAAAAATTCTTTTAAAATTTTTATTATTGTTATTATTATTATTATTCAAAAAAATTCTTTTAAAACTTTTATTATTGTTATTATTATTATTATTCAAAAAATTCTTTTAAAAACTTTTATTATTTTTATTATTTTTATTATTGTAATTAGACTTTTTTTTTTCTTATTTGTACACATTTTCTTGGATTGTATTTTTATTAGAGGATTTTACTGATAATATATTTTTAGAAATGACCAATATAACTTTAGTACAACTTGCGAAAATTTACGCATGTTTGCAAAAAAAAAACTCCAGTTGGATTAGTGCTTGGCAGTCAAATTTTTGATTAGTTATATAATGTCAGATATATTGATACATATATAGATTTCTGATTTGACTGTCAAGTTTTTATTATAATTTTTTTTTTAAAAAAAGAGTACCGTATTTGCGTGTAATAACGCACCCCCCTAAGAGTTTACACGATAAATATAAGTATAGAGCACATGTCTATTAAATTATTGGCAATATTGATCCAAAATAATGCACATGTGCGTCCCGAAATAACGCACAGGTGTGCGTTATTACACGATTATCGTTTTTCAATTCAGCAATTAGGCATATACTGTAAATGTAAAAATGTTTACGTACGTACGTACAAGGTTATCTTCCCGCTAATCAAGGCAATGAAACACGTGCTCATAATACGAGACTATGCAGCAGTGCTGTTTGAATCTTTTTATATATTTATTTATTGTAATAGGTATAAAATCATCTAACCTCCGTAAATGCATCCCCACGGACCATTGCAAAAAAAAAAATTAAATATGCATTTATGTATAGAAATCATGAAATGAGAACTATAAGACTCTAAAAAAAGTTTGTTCAGTTTTTGTAAGCATTGTCCGAAAAAATGTTCGGAATGGAATCGATTTTCCGAATTCCAAGTACGATAATGTACAATTTTTATACTGTGATGTAAAAAAAGGAAATTTTTGGGTTGACAACATTGCACAAAATCTGTACAGTGTATGCGGTATGTACGGAAAATCGATTCCATTCCAAACATCTTTTTGAACAAAAACAGAATAACTAGAAAGTTTTTACGTAAACAATAACGACAAAATTTGGACAAAATTTGTTTATATGGAGATATTAGTCATACGAAAGTAACAAGAAATTTTTTTCATCGGAGTTAATATTGGTGCTGCTACACAGCACATGGGAGGTGACATTAGCTCCGATGAAAAAATTTCTTGTTACTTTCGTATGACCAATATCGACGTTATCATTTGTATTATATTAGCATGTGAAACTTTTTGCCGTGATATTTTGCATAAATGATTATTTCATTTTGACAAAAATATCGAGGCAAAAATTCATCACACGAACGATAACAAGTTATACCGTACATATAGAGCGCATTTATAGTGTTTGCATTTATGGGGCTTTCTGTATTAAGGTTCATGACATTTATTGTCCACGGTAGAGGCATAGAGCACTCGGTATCCGAATTTTGCTTAAAATATTAAAATGAAATTTGGTTTCTATTTAAGCCTCAAAAATCCACATTATTATTATTTATTATTAGATATCTTTATAGTTCGGTTGATTAATTACTGTAGATTTCATTTTTCATAATCATTTGACAGGTCAGTTTTTCAAATTATAAATAAAAAAAGTTTCTACTTACAAAAATATATACAGTCGGACCTGAAAATAAAATGGAAGTTTAAAAGATCCTATTTTTATTTTTAAAATTCCGATTCAGTGGATTAATAGAGCACACACGTTAATAAAATTGGCCTTTTTTTTAGATAAATACCTACGGGTAAATGATTATGTAAATAAGTCTAGATGGTAAAAAAAAAATAGGATTTATGTGTGTCACATATTTTGAAGTAAATACATCACTTATTTTATCAGACATCGGATGCCGAATTATAGTGAATAGCATTTTTAATTGATTAAAAAGTGCATGCCATTGAAATAAATGAAGTACGCGACGCTTATTTTATTACATCAGAAATAATAACAGGCAAAAAATGGCTAGTATATATTTTTTTTTACACTAACTTATCAAAGTTTTGTAGAGTTATATTTTCACACTCCTTATTAAGAATCTTCGTTATTGACATTCATATTTGCAAACTTTCGATAACATTTCATAATCAACCTATAATCTATGAAAACAAGTCATTGGCTAATCACAACAAGAATGATGTTTAAGCAAATCTCAGTCATTTCTATTGCATTGGGTCAATAACGTATAGACGATATCGTAAATGTCAAATGAATTTACAAGCATATTTGTGACTTAAGAAAGTTTCGATAAAATCAGTTAAAAAACCATATTAGAACATAATTTTGAAATATCGTTAAAAATTTTTGATAAAAAACCATATTAGAAACTAATTTTGGAGTATCATCAAAAAAAAAAAAAAGGTAGAATTCGTTATATTATTAAAAATTCGTTTATGTTTGATAAGTTTAAAATGCATGAATTTTGTTTCGTATAAATAATAATAAATCCTGAACTTGCCACTATTTTTTAAGCTATTGTAACCGATAATTTTGTCCCATGACTCACCACTTCCGTATTTACCATTTCTTAACGTTGAAGTTGTTACTTACCTTTCACGTATAATTGTATCATCATAGTCATGTTAATCATACCTTACAGTAGTAGTATTAGGCATTATTATGTATCCTTGGTGGCTTAAAATGTGTAATGGCGTAGACGTTCAAAATTTAGAGTCGACGCTCAATCTACAGCGTAACACTAAGACCTCAGCGTAACGCAAAAAATATAAGCATTCTGTAAAATTAAAATGCATACCTTCGCCCTTCGTTGAGGGAAAACTGATGCTCTTCCTAAAATAAAAATACAGTAAATTCATACTAATTTTATAATAAATGCCTAATAAATCCTAAATATCCGATTTTATGGCTAGTTTCATGTGGCCCGTCGGAGCTAAACTCCATCAGATGGTGACACTATCAAAAGAATTTTTATAGAACATTCTTCTTAATTGATAATTGCATTAGATTACAACGGTTCACAACATTTTTCGTTGGTTATATATCGGAGGCAAAATCCAAATTTTTACCGTTATACGTACGTACGTACGTACTAAATTCATAGTTCTCTCAAAATGATAGCGTTGCCGAACGAATGCCTCGTTGAGATATTTAATAATTTTCAAAATAATTATAAAACCTTATTTTCGTGCCTTCTTGTAAACCGTCAATGGTGTAGATTTATTATGCCTATATTATGGAGTGAACCTACAAATCATTTCGATAATAAAAAACTTATAAAAATGTATCTTTTAGCATTAAATGCTGAAGAACAAGCACCATTAATCCCTTTTAAAATTATTCTTCCAAATTACCCAAGACCATTATTTGAGTACGAAAGTTATACTACATCTGTTGGTTTGAATTTGACCAATGGAGTCAAAAATTGGCTTAAAAATGAAGGACATGATGTAGGTTATTTTGAAAAAGACGATATTACAAATACTATCATGGGCTCTTTAGTTTCAATGTTTCTGCGTACAAGTAAAAATCTTAAATATTTAACACTTTATGATACTATTATTAATAAATCAATATTAGTCGGTGCACTTTACAAGAATACCACGTTATCTTCTTTGAATCTTCAATATAATGATCTTAAATCAGAAGAAATAAATACATTAGTAGATACACTTTGCAAGAACACCACATTGATTTCTTTAAGTCTTTATGGTAATAATCTTGGTTCAGAAGGAGTGAAAGCATTAACTGATTCGCTTTGTAAAAACACCACACTGACTTCCTTGAATCTTTTCTTCAATAATCTTGGATCAAAAGGAGGACAAGCATTAGCTGATGCACTTTGCAATAACACCACTCTGACTTCTTTAACTCTTCATACGAATGATCTTGGATCAGAAGGAGGAAAAGCGTTAGCAAACGCACTTTGCAAGAATACTATGTTGACTTTTTTGGAACTTACCAATAATAAACTTAACTCAGAAGGCGGAAAAGCGTTAGCAAGTGCACTTTGTAAGAATAATACTCTAAAAGATTTGCACCTTCGTGATAATAATATTGGACGCGAAGGAGTAAAAGCATTAGCAGATACACTTTGCATAAATGGGGCACTGGCTTCATTGGATCTTAGCAATAATAGACTTGGACCAGAAGGAGGAAAAGCATTAGCAGATATACTTGGCATAAACAACGCACTGACTTCTTTGAATCTTAGCAATAATAATCTTGGAGCAGAAGGCGGAAAAGCCTTAGCAGATGTACTTTGCAAAAACTCCATGCTGAATTATTTGGACCTTCAAGATAATCATCTTGGGTCAGAAGGTGGAAAGTCATTAGCAGATGCACTTTACAAGAACACTACATTGACTTTTTTGAATCTTTATAACAATGGTATTAATTTTACTATAAAATCTAACAATCAAAATATTGAAATAATCCAAGATAATTGATCGAGAAGGAAGGATAAATATTAACCAACAATTCAACTTTGAACTATTTTTGTTGCAAACATGCATTCTACTTTAATTTTTATTATAGTTAAAATAAAATGCATCATAGAAAATAAGGTTAGTAAGACCCTTGTGACTTATGAATCGTAATGTGACGGGCTAAACTTAGCCTATTTTTAAAAGACAAACGAAAATTAAGAAAATTCAACTGCACTTCTTGAATGTGTACCAAGTTTATGGCGCATTATCGTCAAAGTAATTTGCGCCAACCAAAAGTCAAATATTTTATCGATCAATTCATATATAAATTAATAAAACGAAACATTTTCAAAAATATTTAAAAGTTCTTCTGTTCTTTTTATTTAAAAGGTACATTGCTTTTCACTAGTTTCAAATTTAAAAAACTATTTGTATGCTTTGTTCATAACACTTTTT